CCGTAACTAAAATTATTTAATTTAGGTTTAGTTAAGTTAATTAAAAACGAAGTAGACGATATACTATGGGCTTACACACATAGAAATTTTTCCATTTGTTTACTAAATGGATAATTGTATTGATGCACATGTTATAATTTCAATATTTAGTTTCTGCTGTAATTATTGCATTTCTTATTTGGTTAATATGCTAACTTGTAAACACTGCACTGATGTATTTAATATTAGTATGCATCTATTAGTAAGTATAGTACTGCCTCATTATAATGCTACCATTGGGGGCCATGTGCATCCGAGAGGGATATAGATGGGGGAGTGTTATAACCAACTGGTCAAGAAGGTGCTCATGCTGAACAAGTATAGATTCAACAGACTAATAAAGCAATCAATTAAAAAAAATAACTTTATTTATATGGGGAAAGTAGATATAAAAAGAACATAGATAAGGTAAAATAAGATACAATAATATAAGATAAAAACAATTACATTTTTACTGGATTGGATGATTAAAATCATGGCAAAAGTGAGCAGGCTTAATGTTATTCTAAACCTGTTGCAATTAGCAACATGATATCTATTTTCTTCTGACACTGAACAGTATCTTGGTTTCAACCATAAACAATTCTTGGAACTTCTTGTCCTCTCTGCAAAGTTAAACCATTTCCTCTTTAATGATGTCTATTACCAGATAGGTGGAATCCCCACTGTGTCCAACAATAGTCAATAGTTTTTTGTGCAACTATGAATGCAAATGACTAGAAATCTACCCATGTGACTTTAAGCCTGTCCTTCAGAAATGCTATATCGATGACAATCAAGTCACATTTCCAAATTAGTTTCTTACCTTAATTCCTAATATCAAGTTTAAATTTTTTTTTCCTTTATTTTTTGACAGAGTTTAATAACTTTAGCCTCCTAAGCCAGGTGACAGTGAACTAAGCAGCAGATGATCCTAAATTTCGGGGAGCAAAGGCACCACAACATTATATCTGAGAAAGCAATAAAACCGAATGCATTATAATGAAGCAGTACTGTATAACTAAGATAAATATTTTGTTTATCCATTGAAAGAAAAAAGTTTGCAACATTATTGTAACAAGACTATTTTGTTTCTTACTGAGTAAATAAATTAATGAAATGAAATGGAAAAACATGTAAAGTAGGTTGTAAATAGACCTTCACTGTGGATTTACATAGTTTCTTTTAATTTTATGTCTGTCTCAAAAGTTAGTAAACTTAAATTAGAAATGTACTATATATATAAAATTTGCAATTCATTTTTACAGAGTACAAGCAATATTTCCGACTCCTGATCCTTCAGCCCTTCAGGACAAAAGGATGATCAATCTAGTCGCTTATGCTAGGACTGTGGAAGGTGTAATGTATGAAAAAGCCAACAGTAGAGTAAGTTTTGTTAAAACCTGCCAAATTCCCTTGGGAATTTTCAGTATTTATAAGTGGTTTCATGTTTAATTTGACTGTAACATAATTGATCTTATGCTAATAACCCTATGGTTTCAGGTTCCCTCTCTGCGCATGTCACAATATTTTACAGAGTTACATTAAAAATTTAATTAAGGTTGGATATACCCTTTACATAGTGTTATCTAGGTTCTGGCCTTTTAAACTGAAAAAACATCTTCATACTATGCTTTTTGTATGAAAATATATTGAAATACGTACAGAGATGTATTTTGGCACATGTTGTATAACATTACTGCTGTGGCTAATTTGCATATTATATAAATAAAGAAATATAAAAGAAATGGCTTATGTTTCTGATAACTTTTCAAATATGACTGAATGTTCCTGAAAATGGGTCCAGACTTTTATGGGATGTGAAGAATTAGTCTAAACTAAGGAAAATTGAAAAGTAACTCAAGGTCATATTACAGCACTAATGAGTATGCCCTAAGTATGACATATACTACAGTGATTCGTTAATGGCCATTTAATAAAAACCAAACCACTTATCAACTTTATCTTAAATGAATAATAATAATTCATATTTATGCCAATTGTGAAGTCTATAACATCAACAGATCTGAAGTTATGAGTAAAAGACCACTATGAGATGTCAACTGTCAGATTTTGAAAAAAAAACATGTTTGAAAATTAGGTGCAAAATTGTCACTATATGGTCTTTGTGTAGTTGTAAAAGGTATACCACATCCTGCAAATTGTGAAACTTACACTCTTAATATGTTTCTAGGTATTAAAGGGTATTTGCTACCTTAAGCAATTTTACTGTCAATGTTATGTCAATGAAATTAGCATCATAATGTTCTTTATAAGTCAAAGTTTTTTATTATCTAACTTTTAATTCATATATTTTCAAAGAAAGCTTTGGTTTTGTTGTCCCATATTGCACAAGCGTTTACAAGTCTTAACTTTGGGTCTGTAACTTGAATAATCCTTCACGTACACTAGACATCTACATATAGACAAAAACAAGGCTAGTTTCTCTGTTTCATGTTCTTCTTTCAAATTCCTTAGGGCAAATTCTGAGAATGAAGATATAAATCTCTTGGGAAATCTTGACAAAAGCCACGTCCACTTTCTACACATAGACTTGCGAATATGTAGACATCTCACTTATTTGAGGCAGATATTTATAACCAACAGAAAAAGAGCTGATTTGGAATCCCAGTTGAGAAGCACTGAAATAAAGTACCCCCCAAACACTGACAAACTATTCCCAGTAGACCAACAAATTTGGTCACATCTCATTGCTTTTTAGCATATGCAACACTAGTATTGTGTAATTAACTTATATTTTATCAGTTTAGTTCCTCTGTTATGGGATGTCAGTAGCTAATAAAGCCTTCATATATTTTGGCATCAAACACGTAGTTTTTATCTTTTTCTGCTTACATTTGCCTATATATGCATGTTTTGAACTCAAAAAACATATAATGCCTTGTCACACTCGAATATAATTACATTTTCTTCTCTATCTAGCATATTTTGGTCATGTATACTGCAACAAAAAAGTGATAATCACCTTGGCCCATGTTTGAGCGAATATTTCCATGACCAAAAGACAGATCAAAAATATTCTTAACCCTTTGGCCTCAGGCTTGTGTAATTTGCGAAAAGTGTATCTTGAATTTCACTTGTGCAACAATACATACAGTCACTCTGAGATTTCTTAATTTTATCCTCTCAAAAACTGGTAATATTTTGCTAAAGATCACAAGTATCTTGTGCACAAAGAATGATATTTTAATTTAGTGCTTTTTACTAAATATATGTTATTTATCTATTGTAGTTACTTGCACTCAAACTCTTCTTTTATGTTTAATTATAAAAATACTTTTCTTCATCTTATAGTTTTCATATTTCATTTGCATAATCTCTAGAACCTCCTAAAAGAATATCAAAAGGTAAATGTTTATATTTTATTTTCTCTACCATATTACTAACTCTAGCTATGATCATCAATGTACAATGCAATGAAATCATTAAAATTAGGAAATTAAAAACAAATACAGACCTTTTAATTTTTCATAGGTTAACTTTAAAATTTTCCTCTTCTTTAATTTGTAATTTAAGGCCTTTTCCTTTTAACATATAGATAATTTTTTTTCCTTTCTTTCACCACCTATTCATCTCGACACAAGTCAAGGGTACCATCAAGGCATATTAAAGTGTTTCTGGCACGCATGCACAAACCTTTGGCAAAATTTTGTGCACTGTGTAATATCGTAAGCCTTGAGAACTCACACGAAGTATGGTGTATATTTACAAGATGTATAAATGTTTCAATTATGCATTTTAAAACACAACTGATACATAATGAACTAAAATATAAAAGTAAGACCTAAATACAATTTAAACTGTATCTCTAACTATAACATATTTAGGTAACAAACAACTGTAAGTGCTGTAGTCAATCAAGCAGCAAGTTACGTGCATCCCTTGATGACAGCTGCATTCCAATTTCAAAATAATTGTTGTTAGATTATAGTGTACAATGAGCTCTTCCTAATACCTCTACACATGTGCATGTAACATTTACGTATAGGCTATAAAGCTCAAACAAATCTGTTGAAGGTGGGCATGACATATGTCTGGGGTTGAAAAACTTTATTACTTGTTTCAACTGCATTTGTTCAGAGAACTTTAAAATGTACAAGTCAAAAGGTTATGTAAGCATCTTATAGTCTAGATGTACATCTACACAACTGCCATTGTATTATTGAAGATATAGAGTGCCAAAGTAGAGGAGTTTCACAGCTCGTTGGTCACATGACAATGCATCTGAAGGTTTAAATAGTTTTTTAAAGGTTTCTTTTAAAATAAAGGACTTAAACTTAGATAACATAAAACTTTGAATCACAGCAAACATTATAATGTTAATTTCATCCACATACATTCATAGTAAAGTTGTTTAATTAAATTTTAATGTAACAAAGTGACTTGCGCACAAAAGCATTTAAATGGGCACTTGTTGAGAAAGGGTTATTGCTTTCTCCATATCTTATACCAATGTACAATTGGGATAAATGTTACAGAATGAAGCAAAATAGGGCAATAATTAAATTTTCAAAAGTCAATCAAACATAGCATCCTTTCTTAGAATTGGCTTATAAATATAAAATTCAGTCTTTTTTTTTCTTCAAAGAAGTACACTTTTATTTCAATGATTTAAATTTTCTTCCCAAGCCATGTTTGTTTTTTCAATCCAGAGCAAAAATCCTGTAGTATTTCATCATATCTGTTTAGATGCGTAGACCAACATATATTAATCAGAAATTTTATTAAAAACTTGTTATTAATTCCTCAAAAAAAAAAAACTTTAAAACTATATGGCTGATTGTTTTTAAAACAGCTCATTAAAAATGTTATCATTGAAAGTTATATAGGATGAATAAAGAAGTACCTCCAAGCCTGTAATTACTGTGAAGCATTAATAATTTTTTTAAACTATCAAACATTTTGTAGTGCATATGATTACTTCTTGGGGTAATGTCAGGTAATTGCAGACATGTCAAATTGGTTTTGACTTTTACACTTGCTTAGCTTACTAAGAAAGAGTTGTATGATTCTATTTATAAGATATGTGTATTTCAAATATATTATTTTTATATTTGTAGGAAGAATACTATCATCTTTTAGCAGAAAAAATTTATAAGATTCAGAAAGAATTAGAAGAAAAGAGACAAAAGAGGAAAGAACAACAGCAACAAGATCCTCTTCGGCAGACAAATCAGACTGGAAGTAGTGCTGTGCAATTTAGGACAAAGTCTTTGAGTAAGCATAACTAACTAAAATAAATGTGAAATTGAATATACCACAGCTGAAAGTAAACTTTCAAGCTAAAGGTTTAGTACAATCATACTTCTTCATTATTTTGCATTTAAATAAGACTAAACCTGCAATCTTTCTCTTTTTTTTTTTATTATATTATTATTATTGAACATGGTGTGCCTTCTACTTTCAAGCATACAAATTAATATTTGTTATTAAATAGAATTTTGAGAAATGTGTGTCATAAAATAATAAGGTATAGTCAGATGGAATGGGGAATAGAGTAATATTTGTTTTCTTTTGAAGCTTATTCTATAATATTTTGTTATATATATGTTATGGGTGATGATTTAAGTTCAGACAATGCAGACAATAAGCAGGCTGTGACAATACTTTCCTACTGTGTTTGGGCAATGTTAGCAATGCCTGATCATTGACAACATTGCTCAAAAAATTTTGGGAGGTGTTGTTTACAGTATTGAAAATAAAGTATTTCAGTCAATGTTTGGGCATTGATGACACAGGCTGATGTCTCATGTGTGATGATGTTTATTATTTAACCTGCTCTTTTACTTTTCAAAGTTTTCTTAATTTCTTAAAATATTTAACAGCCATATGATGAATGTATGGTATTACCAACAATGTTGTATACTTAATCTTAAATAAACCACTATTAATTTTTCCACTCATTTTGATTGTAAATAATAGATGTCTTGTAACACGATGTTTAAATTTAAACACTGGGTGACTAAGGCTGGGAAGTGGTGTCATTTACCGGCTAATGCTGTTAATTAATACTTTAATAACACAAAATGAATTTAAACATTGCCTGTAACATATGCAAGTGACAAATAAATGTTTACGTTTTTATGGCACTGATTTATTCTCCATCAGATTAAAAAATTAATAAGAATATAATAACTATAATACTGTCTTCTGTACAACTTTAGGTTCTAACACGGTTGTAGTATCACAACCTCATATGTCTGTCATGAGCCAACCAAATTCACAACAACGAATTCCACCACCAAATATAACAATTTCTGGATCTCTAAATGAGTTTTTTCCTAATTCTGGTCAACTGCCAAACTCAGCAGTCATGCACCCGACAAATTTCACTATTTCAAATGCAGGACCTACTTCTACAACATCATTAGGTACTAATCAGACTAATAGAGGTGTGGCAAGCATAGTAACAACAGTGAGTGCTTCTTCATTTGATGATGTGGTTACCGCTTCCTCCAGTAACTCTAGCTCCCATTGTGGATCATCCAGTATTGAACTTCAAGAAAAATCACAGTTTACTGAAAAGGTGAAAGCAAGGGAAATCACAGTGAGTATATGTTCATATCATATATATATATAAAACTCATAAATTATTTTTTCCCACAGGACACTTGTACTGTGTTATACCATGTTACATATTTTAACATGTTTCGTGTATCTTCATAAAATTTTCAAACCTTTAGTAAATATTACAAGTTTTTTTTAGACAAAAAAAATCAGTATTTTTCAAAACATCTGTCCATGAATGTACGGTGTCAGGGTATTGACTGCTCTGAATGCAAAGTGGTTTTCAATTTAAGATTAAAAATAATTGAAAATACTTTTCTTCATCTGAAAATTATCAAATTTTATTTGTGTAATTTCTAAAACCTCCTAAATAAATATCACTAAAATTTTATATTTTATCTGTTATTTTCTCTACCCTAATTCTATGTGCATTTGATCAATTTGAAAGTCCTTTTCAAAGTATTTCTGAGAGTTTCTACTTCTGATCTTTTCACATCTATATCCTATGTTTATTTGACTGTTAGTGGCTGAAGTAAAAACCTGCCAAACATAAACCAATGAATCACTGCTCCTGCCATTAGAGTGTTTATGTGACACTGTAATATGACACCATCAGTAGAAAAAAGTCACATGTGATGCAATAAGCCAATATTTCTCATAACATTTATCAGAATCTCAGCTATGAGATAACAGTGAAAGAGGATTTATTGGGTTGTTTACTGTACAGTGGTTGCAATAACAATTGTCTAAAGTACTAAAAGTGCAAGAAAATGTTTATGATATAGCTCTGTACAATGTTCAGGATGATCCAATGAACTTGTTAGATATTTGGATGTTAGTTATCTTCTTAAAACATAGAATAATAACTTAAAAACGATTTCTAGTACTTACAATGTTAAGGAAATTGACTTGTACTTGTGCATCATACTTTCTAAGCCTTGTTGTAAGAGAAAATGGTGTTAAAAAAAACTACATTTTTTAGACCAAAATAAAGCTTAGTTAGTAAGCCTTATAAATTACATTGGAATTCTGTGATATTGGTAGAGTAATTTCGAATTTTTTATTACTTCAAAATTCGTATATAAAACTTGTACATTTTGTTTTACATCCTCCATGTGCAAAATTCAGCAAGGCTTAGCATGCAAGGTATGGCAAGTAAGTACAAGCTGCTTCAAAGTCGTAAGTAGTAGAGATCATTGTTTTCTATATTTCTTTATTTACTGTTCTATGTTTTAAGAAAAATACCCGAAATTTAATAATTTATTTGTAAATAGTAGTAATAATATATATGTAATGTATTATAACCAAAATATGACTACTTTACAAAATACTGGTCCACTAGAACAAAGCCAAGATGGATCACTTTGTAAATGCCAGTGTTGAGCTATTGGATACAGTAATATAAGATGCACATGTGCTGTGGTTGCATCTTCTGTAATGCTAGTCAGACACAGCTGAAAGTTCAGTAAAATAAAAATAACAAATATAAATAGATATATAATGTTATAAGATTTAAGCTATTTAGAATAAACATTTCTGGTTTCCTGTTACAATTAGTAGACATTCTAGAACAAAACACAATGTGATGAATGATGGGTGTTGAAAGCTGTATGAGCATTACCTGACATTTGATATTTAGAAGTATATTGAAAAAAATATGTCTGCAAATGTCTGGGCAATTTATTATTGTCCTGCTGGTGTCACAAAGTTTTACAAGTGATACAGAGTGTGCCATTAAAGCTTTTCTAAGGGATTTATTTAGATTGTGGGTTATATGTAAGCTACACATCTGGAGTGTCAGGAACTCTATTCTGTTAGGCTTCATCAAGACAAAGCATCCAGCTACTTGTCCAAGTCATCAAGATGGAAGTACAAATGAGAATTTATGCAGTTCCATTCACAGACATCTGTCATGGATTTCTATGCCTTTTAATTGCTCAAGTGGATCCTTGGAAGATTTCTATGCATGGCTGATGGGCATGTAAAGAGGTGGAGACAAATTGAAGCATTGATACTATGTATTGCATAAAAGAATCCTACAGGTTAAGTTGTATTGCAGAGTGGTAGCACATAAGTAGGGCAATCTCACACAATGCCATTAGTGTGGAAGAATGGATCATAAGGTGTAGGGGCTCAATACCATAGGTCATGAACACCCATCTTTATAGAGTATAAAAAGTTTCACTTTGATATAAAGAACTGTAATGATGCCAAGCATTTTTATTATACAGAAACCTTATTTTCTTTCATGACTAAGTTGAACATGCACTTTATCTCCATAAAATGTAAACTTTCATTACACTACTATATGCTTTATAGGTGACTATCTTAAATGTTTCTGAAAGTAACTTTTATGTGCAAATGAAATGTGTTATAAACCATATAATTATGGTCTGTAATTTATGAATTGGGAAATATATAAAAATGTCCTGGAATTTATTTTAAAAGAAAAGTAAACTTTCTTCATGCTTTTATCTATATGAAGCTCATTAAAAGTGTTCTTTGAAGCAATTTAAGATCGTTTGTGTACATGCTGTTTTTAGATGCAGCAGGTGCAACTACCTCTGCAGACAACACAGATGCAGATAGCAGTTTCTTCTATCAGTGGAATTAGTTCACCTGTAAGTTTTTCATTTAACACAGATTCAGTTTAATCAAAGAATTTATATATTCCAAAAAGAAATTTACCATTTTATGCATTTTTTCATTTTAATCACATGCAGACCAGTTGAAATGTGACTAAATAGAAAAAGTTATGATAAAATAGATGTATATTGATTGATTTCTAAAGAATTGTTAATTTCAAAATGATTATATATTAACTAATGAAAATGAAACATATAAATAATTTATACAAATATGTAAGTTTAAATGGTAGCGATATTTGGATGTATAGTGTGTATATGTTATATTGTATCTTGATCACCCTTTGCAAGAACCCAGGCTTCATAAACTGTGGTGCAGAAAGTATACAATTTTTATGAAGTGTATTAGAGAGAGCGAAAAGTTAATCGTAGGTTTAGTTCTGGTCAAGCCAAACTTTGAGAAAATGGATGCAGGGGGTTTGGAGAAATAATACAAGTAATATGTATTATTTATTTTTACTATAATAATATTTGTACTCTGTGCAAATTCCACTGTATAATACTTTTTTTCACTTCTTAACCCAAATAATGTTTAGAAATTATTTATAATTTAAATAGCAACATGCTAAATTTAAATCTAAGTTTGGCTTATTACTAAACTTTGTACAGTACTTTAACCCATTCGATACGGGTCACAAATGAAAGGCCATGCCATCTCGTTTGTTAACTCTCATTCAAAATTTTATTGAACTACTATTTCATGATATTATGTCAATAAGTTTGGTATCAAACTGTAGATTATAATTCAAATTTCAGAACTATACATTACTCAATTTGTTAATTTAAAAGTAAATATTAAAAAAATGCAGATAAACATCAATTTTTGCATGTCACGTGGTATGTTGAATGCAGCACTGGTTCAGATTAGATGTTTGTGAAGTCAAAATACTAAGTCTGTAGTTTCATACGAATTATAAACTCAAATTACAGATATTGACAAGCTAGAATATAAAATAAGA